AAATCGAGGCAAGTAAATACACGCTGCCAAAAGACAAATCCTACCCAAGTTGAAAGCAAGTTTGCATGTAGACGATATGCACCGCCAAATCGATTAACACCGACTGCACGATGGTCAAAGCGACACGCACGCAGCAAAACTATGTCATAAGCATAAATAAAATATTTCGTAGAAAGTGACTACGGGGGCGCATAGACCAATATGGACAACAATGATATGGAATACGATTGGAATAATACCGCTGTGATGAATAGCAGTCGCGAATTTCCATCTAATTACTCGCTGACATCCATCGTATCGATCAAACCAAATATATGCCTGTGTAAACGCATTGCATCGATTTCCGATGTTAAACTACTCTCAATCGCTGACAAAGTAGCGCATTAAAGGAACACCTTCTCCTAACTCTTTGAAAAAGATAAAGCGCGTATAGAAAAAAGAAATGTGAAGGATATTAAGATGTATCGTTTCAACATAAATTTTCTTATCGCGTTGACGTAACTATTATTGTCACAATTATCTTTTTCATTTCATATAAACACAAATATAATAAAATTTAACATTATCTGTTTCAGTGATAAAGTATTTATTTAAAATTCATGACAGTGAATTCTAAATATTATTTATCTAACATGATAGCGTTTTCATATATATAATATCACGTTCTAAGAAGACCACTGATTAAAGTTTCTTACATATGAACTGCAAAAATAATCGTGAAGTGTACGATATGATATTCCAAGCTTTTAAATCGTTACACAAGCTTTTAAAAAATAAATAATCTAAACAAGTAACTCTGAAATAATTTAAATAATAAAATATGATTGAAACGCTTAGTTACTGACGTTTAATTTTTATATTATCAGTATAACCCGCTAAATATCACTGAATTTATTATAACAAGTTGTTTCTGTAATATTACATAGTACAAATGTTATTTGAATATTCCAATTGTTAAAATTACAGGTAACGCGAAACTCGCGCGTAATTAAAGCGGAATTTTACAAAGTAGTTACGTCATGTTAACAGGAAAACAATTGTAAAAGAATTACCTTTCATCTTTATACAAATTGTAATAAAATAATTGATTATCAAGTGGACATTTTAATCCGGCTTTCCAATCGGATGTTTCATATGCATATACCGGATGTGTAATAACCTAATACGTTCACAAATTGCGTCCGACCATATGAAGCAGCTCGGGGCCATAGAATTAAATGCCGTAGCTTATGCAACGGTATAACGGTGTAACGGCGCTAACTAATTCAGGGTCGAACAAATTCGAAACTTCACTGCTCGATAGCCTTCAAGACGATCCCGCTGGTCTTTACATCGCTTGTTAATAACCACTAATGACAATGCGATCGTTATTAATTGGCGACAAATGTGCAATCGTGAGAAATAAATGTTGGTTGTGCGCAGAAAAATATCGAGGGGGAGAGAGAGAGAGAGAGAGAGAGAGAGAGAGAGAGAGAGAGAGAGAAGAAGTAAC